ATTATTATACTATAAACTATATATATAAATAATAGTATATATATATACATAGATATATATATATATATATATGTGTGTGTGTGTGTGTGTGTGTGTGTGTGTGTGTGTGTGTGTGTATATGTATATCTATATATTGATGATATTAATGATAGTTTGAATACTGTTCTGACGGGTGTCCCAACATGCAGGCAGATGTTTCGAAGCACTTAACGTCGTTGCTGCCGCACACAAGCCAATCACTGCGAAATGGTTGTCGCATTACTACCTGGCAAGTTTCTATCTACCAGATGCCAGTATTTGTGCTGTCTTTTGCTCAAAGCCAATATTTCTGCTATCCGAAAAACCCTACCCAAAAACTCAAAGACCCAAAAACTCGTTTCTGATTTGTATTGCTTTCGCATTTGACTAATAAGGATTACTACCTGTGCTCCATACGTTCTTGCATTTTTTTCGTTGCCTAGCGACACGTACCGCCTTCATTCACAGAGAACGATGTAGTTGCCATGGCAACGCACCTAGATAGCTACGAGACCGCCAAGGTCGATCTGGTAGGCGGGCATTTCCTAGTTGTCAAGAATATTGCCGAGCGCTTCGTGGAGGTATGTCCATGTGTTTATGTTAAAACACATACGTGCCTGTCGTGCACAGAAACTACTTGCTATGCTTGTGTTGATTACTTGCTATGCTTGTGTTGATTTGATCGTGAGCAGACTCCGTGCATGCGCCACAGGACAAGGTCCCTATCTGGTTGTGTCGCAATCGGATTCTCTGCATATCCTTCGGTTAATGTGAGGATGTTTTCTTTGATCTTGTTTAGTATACTGTACGGTTTCGTCAAGAGCTAACGGACGATGCGTTGCATGTTCGTCTGATTTGTGCCTCTAACCATGAATATTTGTCTGATTTGTCTGACATTGTATCATGAAGAGTAACCATGAAGAGTTGTCTGATTTGTCTGTTATTGTATCATGAAGAGTTGTCTGATTTGTCTGTTATTGTACCATGAAGACTTGTCTGATTTATCTGTTGTTGTATCATGAATAGTTGTCTTATTTGTCTGTTAATGTACCATGAATATTTGTCAGATTTGTCTGACATTGTACCATGAAGAACTGTCTGATTTGTCTGACATTGTGTAACTGCCTATGAACAACCGGTGTATTTTGTCTGATATCTACCTATCAACACAGCGTTTTCTGATTCGTCCAACATAGCGTATCTATCTACGAGCAGTAGTTTGACAGCATATTGCTGTCTGATATCGTTCATCTGCCCTTGCGCACATGGTAAACACCCCTTTGTCTGACCTTGTCCCACATACCCATGTCCAGCTGTTTGATGACACGCTGTCTGCTCGAGTGAAGGAGGTGCGGCAGAGGGGTGGGGTGAAACACAGAGAGACGTCGTCCAATCGCAAGAGTGCCCGCGCAGGCCGATTGAAAGGGAACCACCACGTACTCACCATGCATGAAGTAAGCCGTCTGAATGTGGGCGTGTTCACATAGACAGGCTATGTCTGTTGAAGTAGTATAGTCCTCTGTATATAACCCTCTGAATGTGTGGTTGTACACATAGATAGGCTATGTTCGACAAACATAGTCCCGTCTGATTGTGTGCGTGTACTCATAAAGAGACTATGTCCGTCGGAAGTATAGACGTATGTGTGAGTAATAATATGAAAGTGTGCTTGCACACATAATGTCTGTAGACGTTCATACATATATATATATATGTGTGTGTGTGTGTGTATGTATATGTATATGTATATGTATATGTATATGTATATGTATATGTATATGTATATGTATATGTATATGTATATGTATATGTATATGTATATGTAT